GTTTATCACCTACTTTCTTTGAATGAACTTCTCTCAATGAAAGTGAGCTGATTATTTTTAGCTTAGCTCATTTATAAGTAGTTCATAATCTACTGTTCAGAACTTGAAAAAATACTAGTGAATAACTGGTAAATATCAAGACAAAATGGAAAACATGCCACCGTAAGCACTGTCCTCATATTGTGAGTAGTTTTGGAAAAGGCTCATAATAACAAAAAATAACCAGTTTATGGTAATGGAATTTCAGCTAGCAGTTGTCATTCATCGACACCACTGGGGATCAGTTAGAATTCCAGCTATGTGCCCAGATTTTTAGAATCTTGTAGCTTAAAGTTACCAGGTTTATGTTGATCTTAACAGCTGAGCAAAAATTCAGTTTAGCATTGAATTAAGTTTTGTTGTTCATGTTCTTTGTGATCTGTTTTATCCACGTATAATGCATATTCACGTCAAAATGCATAGTTGAGAGATTACTTTTTATTTATAATTGATTAATAGCTTGAGGTTTGTTTATTTCAGGTGGCAGGGTAACCAACACTATTAAAGTGTTTTTAATAGGTTATAAAATAAGCAAAGATGGGACACGCATCTACAGCTGATCTCGAGACAGTTTTGCTTCACTTCTCCCAGTGAGTCAGCTGTGTTTTAAGTGTTGGGAATTCAATGCAAAAATGCTTTTTTTCTAACTCTAAAATATTTAGCAACACTTTTCAGGCCCAGTACAACATGTGAAGCCCTTGAGGTTTCATCTTGTAGAATTTTCATGTGTACATAGTTATTTTTCTTTAGACCCACTACAATCATGTAGGTTTAAGTTTAACCAAAATCTCACTGAAATATGAATGATTAATATGGATCATTTCATGTAAATATGAAATGCCATTAGCAGAATGTTAAATTATCTTTAATAATACAGAACGCAGCACAACAATTAAGGGCATGATGTTGATTGCCTATGCAATTAAAAGTTTAGGAGACTACCCAACCTGGAACTTGGCCAAGACATCATGATTAACAAGTCTGTTCTTGTGAGAAACTGCCAGGGGAACTCTGATAGCCATGTGTGGTCAACATTTCTGCTTTGTCTAAATTAAGCCATCTTGAAACACAACACTGCCATACGTAAAATCCCATGACAACATTTGGTGAAGCACTTCTATTCAAGCATTGGTGCTGCAGAAAGCTGACTGTATACAGCATTAAGGCAAACAGTTTTGAAAGCATTTATTTTGAATTTCCTGGTAAGCCAAATGCTGCTGAAAATCCCATTCTGTGATTTTAATTTACTTTCCATCCATTTACAGAACCCTCATAAAAGTATATTGTATACCAGGTATATAATATACTGTAAACAAATGAAACCATCTTATTGTTGGTTGTTAAAATTATAGACATTTTAGAACAGTGACTGTGGGATGAACTCTTCTTATATTCTGCTTCCATCTGGTCTGCTACTGTTCCCTTGAAGAAGATGGAAACCAGCACACATTGGATTGCACACACTGTCCTATTTACACTGATTTACGCTCAGGTTTTTTGCCATATCTGGGTAATCCTAGGGTGTGCTCCTGTATCCATCAGGTTTTATCCTGTTGTAGCCTGAGTTTACTGAATTAAACAGGACTTCTTACATAACTGAAGTTGTACATTTGTAGGCAAATAGTCTGCACATCTCATCTGAAGTTCTTTCTCATGCAGAAGCCTCACCTTAAAGGCACAGGCTTCAGGAAGTGGCTATGCGCCTTGAAACCGATGCCAGTCCCTGCTACGTTTTAAACAGTTACTGTGTCAACCGACCTGGTTAGTAAATACAGTTAAATCAAATGCTTATGCTTATTATGATAGTGAAATAGCTTTAAAAGGGCTCCTATGGCACTGTGCTTTCATGCATCCTATTCCTGGCTCTTTGGAAGGCCACTTCACCTTTTTCCTAGTATTTTATGTGAAAGCATGCTGTGCATAAATAATACAAATGCTAGCTCTGTAGAAAGGTGCGTGGAAATGTAAAGGTGGTTTGAACCAGTAACTTCTTTCTTTTCTTTTTTTCCTTTTTTTTTTGTTTTTTTTTGAAACTGTCTTTGGAATTTTAGCTTAGGGACCTCTCTAGTGTTTCTATGTTGTAAAGATTCATTTATAAAACAGCAAGAGGGAAATCACAACTTAGGTCTTTTGAATAAACTAAGTGATTTTCTGGGAATAAGAAAAATAATCAAAACTAATCTGTGCTACAACCTAAAAATCAAGAAGAGATGCACATACTGATGTAGGTACTAAAGCCTGACGTAGTAAAGTACTTTAGGTGCTGGACTTCAGCGGTGCTTAAATGCAAAATTTCATCTACAGGTGCAGAGTTTATTGAGCTTAGTCAGGAATTCCCCACTGAAGCTGGTAATGCTTGATGCCTAGTCAAGATAGGTAAATTCTCTATAGTCTCTATAGTTATGCTTATTATGTAGTTACAGTTGTTAATGTTCTCACCTTACAAAAGTCTTCCAAGAATTACCTGAGTTACAGCAGGGTCTTAGTAAAACATGGGCTCTGTAAACATCTTTTAAAGTAATCTGACTAAGGAACTATTTGTGCATATTTTACTTTTATGTCTGAGAACAAAGCAGTAGGAAAAAGGGAAATGACAGCTGGAATTCTAAATCATATTCTACATTTGATCACTATAACCATCAGAGCTTTTGCTTTAAAGAGTGTAGGGTCAGGCATTATCTACTGGAACATCATTTGACATTTGAATGTATGAAGGTAGATGCTTAAGTAGCCAGATAGGGCCCAGCTAAACATTCTAGTTTCACTTAAGGAAGTGGGAGCTCTGTGAGTGCTCAGTTTCTTTAAAAACAAGATTATTTTTGTCTGGGACTCCACGTACTTACTTAGGTGCCTGACTTAATCCACCCAAGTTTGGATGGTTTTATGGTTCACCTTATTTTATATTGGCAGCTAATTGCAAACAATTTCCCCCAAGTTAATACATGTCTTACCAGAACTCTTGGAGATAGTAAGAAAGGACAAATAATGCTTAAATGTGACTACATTTTTGTTAGTGTGTGGTTTGATACTGTACTTTTATGGTAACTTCAATAGTTTGTGTTCTAACATGATTTAGTAAACATTACAGTGGATTATTTCACTGCAAAGAAATCAGCTCTGTATTGGTTTTGTTCCACTCACTTAAAGGCTCTAGTTAAGGCTCTAGTAAACATGAAAATCTTTCTTAATGCTTTAGTTATTTTTAAGTATTAGCTGAAGAACATTAATGCTTCCTGTTAGGACAGAAGTATATTAAAAAATTTGGTTGATGAACTCAGGTGGGTTTGTTTTTTTTTTTAAGAAGTGTACTCAATATGTATAGCATTTTTAATTCAGCAAATTTATAAAGAGAATTTGGTTAGAATTTGATGACATTTGGGCTAGAAAAATAAAAAATGTTTTGAAAGAATTAAAGGACATCAATCACAAAATGTTTGTGTGTTTTGACCTGATTTTCCTATTGCAAATTTGATTTCAACCTTTTAATGGCTCAGAAAATTTAGGGTGATGCCAAACAGCTCAATATTAAATTACAATTCCTTCTAAAAAGTGTTGTGTGTTTGTTGCAACCTTGCAATATATAACTCATAGCAAAGAACTTCTGTTTTCTTATCAATATAAATACCTATTTGCAATGTCCAAGTCAGTATCATTAGTTATAGGATTGTTTCTGTTACCATATGAACAATGCATACTTGAACCTTATCATCAGAACTATATAGCCATACATATTCTCCTTCCATTGATTACATTTCTTGTTAAAACCTGTTTGCTTTCCTGCCACAAGCAGTATTATGACATGTTGTTTGTCATTGTTGAGATCAGGTAACACAAACATGAAAGAGTAACTCATGTCACTCAGTTCTAGAAAGCAGAGTGCTGAATCAGAGTCCTCACTTAACTCACATATTGTACACAACCCTGTGTTTGACATTGACTTAAGTTTAATGTCCCTGATGACCATTCAGCAGATATTGAAATACTGGGCAGAATCACACCAAGGGTCAGCTTACACTTACTAAACCTGCAGGTTCTCTGTAAGCAACCTTAGTACTAAGAACACTACATGTGAGGCTGCCACTGTACGTGATAAAAGCATTTGATCATTCCTGGCAATGAACACAAAGCCAGACTGGGTTCGAGAGCCGAGAAATGAATTTGGGAGATTAGTATAAGCCTTTACTTCAGTTTGGCATTTCCTCCCCCTTCAAAACAGACTTGGCTTTCCAAGGAAGAGCTATGTGAAGGAGAGTGGGAGTCAAGGTTAAAGTCATCACGTCCAAGCTACTACTATGTTTTTATTGGGGAGAGGCATTTTCTGTTACAGTAATATGGATCAGTAGGATAATGAGACAAGATTTTGGTCTAAAATGTTGAACTCAGTCAGAAATGTGTTTTAATTAATTCTACAAAGTCATTCCAGGTTTCAGCAAAATCGATCCTCAGCCCATGTTGGGAGGGAAGAACAGAAATTCATCACCTTTGAACACGCCACACTGTGCAAATCAATGGCTTTAGTGTGTCATGAAATCTTTGCAGATTTTGCAAAGCAAGTGCTCTGTTTTATCTCTTATTCTTTGCCCTTCACTTGACATACAGGAAGAGATGCATCAAGAGGATGGCAGGAGACATATGTCACTTAAAGCATGCCATAACACTGTTTGCCCTGGAATGCTCCCTTGAATCTGTTTGAACAAGCAGGCATAACAAACGTATAAATATACACAAAACTTTACCAGTTACAAAGTTGATAGAACCCCTTTTCCCTCCGCCCCCTTGAGCAGAGCTAGCCCTAGGCACGCTCTTCCCTTCTGCCCTGAGTTGGAGTGCCATGTTGGTACTGCACCAGCTCACTTGTTGCACAGTGCCGGGGTGGCATCTCCCCTCCGCTCAACCCACAGAAACTTCATAGAATCGCGTTTCAGCGGGCTTCACCTCTCCACCCTCTTGCAGCCTCTTACCTGCATGTGTCCCTGGTACATTCTGCTTCGGCTGGTTCGGGTGCCCCTCAGGCCGACAGGTTGGCTGTACGCTGGGGTAGGGGCACTTCTGTTTGCTAGACTAAAGGAAAGAGAGAAAAAAAAAACAAAACCAAAAAAGCGCCTAACCCTGCTGAAGGAGCTATTTTTTGCAAACGATTCAGTTTGTCCTGGAAGCGCCTTTACCGCTTTCCGTAACCCAGCGCTGCGGGCTGCTTCCCTCCCTCCTCTCTCCCTCGCTCTCCCTGTTTAATGCGGTGCTGCAAACTGCAAAGGAGCTGTTCCTCGCGGGGTGCTGGGGGGAGGCGGGCCGGAGCCGGGCGGCGGCGGCGGCGGGGCTGCCGGGTGGGGAGCGCCGCGGGGCGGAGCGGAGCGGGGCCGCCCGCTGGCGGGCCTCACCTTGTCCCGCTGCCAGCCGGACCGGCCTGCCGGCCCTGGCCCGCGGCTCCCCCCCCGCCTCCCGGAGACAGCCTCAGTCTCCTTCCCTCTCTCCGTTTCCTCTCTCCTCCTTCCCTTCCCCCTCCTTTCTCTCCTCCCTCTTTTCTTCTCTCCTCCTTCCCTTCCTCCCTCCCTCCCTCCGCAGAGGGAGCGCGCAGTATCCAGGGAACGCGCGGAGCCCCGCGGCCACCGGGCGGAGCCCTGCCGGGGTCCCGAGGGAGCCGCGGTCCCCCGGCTCAGCCAACCCGCCACGGGCCGGCGGCTTCCGCTGCAGCAATTTAAAACGAATGAATAAATAAATAGCAGTCAGAAGACCAGGAAAACCTGAGTGTCCCAGAGCCAGGGCACAGCAGAACCTGGATCGGGCACCCGAGGCCTCCTGGAGTTTTGCCTCCTCGCGTGGAAAGAGAGGGGTCGGGGGGCGGGTGCATCCCAAGCAATGGTTGTGCCCAAACCTGGTGCCAGCTGCGCCCTGCTCCCAGCCCTTCCCCATCGCTGATGCAGCTGGAAGAGGGCTGCTGGCTGCTCCCTGCAGCACTGGAAAAGTTTGGCATTGCAGAACGGGAGGGATGTTGAGGTTACAGACATAATTAAATGGAATTTTAGTAATATGCCTCATCATGTTTTTCAACGCTTAGGAAAGATGATGTCACGTAGGAACCATTCTGATAATAGCCTATATGTGCAAAATTCTGACATTGTAAACTGGCACAGCAGGCCTGGCTAAATCCTGAAACCAACACCTGCATCATCTTGGATCCAGTTTTTCTCCTTTCCCCATCTGAAACCTTAAACTTACCATCTGCTAAAACCAGCAGCTGCTTCAGTTTCATTGCAAATTGCTGTCCCACCTAGTTTATCTATATTCAGTAGTACAGAAAACAACCAGTGTCTGGAACTTGCTAGATGGTACAATTTTTTTGACTCTGAGCTTGCAAGTCTTACTATGAAACTACAGAAAGCTTTATGATGCTTTTGATTGACCAGAGCAATCCAACCTTAAGCACGTCCCAATACTAGAGCAATACAAAATAGATCTCTTATTCCTGAAACCAGCATGTGTGTCATCACAGCTCTTGTTTCAGCTAAATACGCTTTTCTGAAGTGTTCTATTCAGATTTAAAAAATGGGGTTTTGCAGAACACAAGTTTGTAAAATTGTCAGTGATGGTACAAGCAGAATATAGCCAATTTTTTTTGCTTAAGCTTGAGAGTTTTATTTTTTATAAAGCAAGAATGACAGTTCTCTTGCATCCAATGAATATGCATCCAGCTCACTGAGATTCTCAGAACAGCCTAGTTTAGCCTTGTGTTGGTGATAAAAGGAAATAAGAAATGAATATGTTTTTTCTAAATCCCTTAAGATGCTTTGAAAACCTCAATTAAGAGCTGACTAGCTTAAAATACTTCTTTGGGATTGTCTGTACATGTTTTAGACATATCTTACTGTAAAACTTCAGTGTGTAATACAAAAGGTGGCTGAACTTACACAGATGAAAATACCAGATTTGTATTATTGTGGTTTCACTTAAGATATAAAATATGGAGCAGAGATTTTTGAGCTGTAAGTATTTGGCTTGCTTAGTGCTCAATTTAGAAGGAAGTCTTGGTCTAGATGAGAAAAAGTAAGTCCTAGTTAAACTTCGAGCCTCGGTGCCTTTGCTGTTTGTTGAACAGAGATGTATTAGGCTCTTAAACTTTAAGTAATCTTGAAGGTACACTTTTTCACTCTGAATACAGTAGGTCCAGATTATCCTTTCCTGGTCAGTGGGCAAGTTTTTTCCACTAGCTGAGTGTTTTCAAGGCATCTGACAATTTCTTTTTTTGTTTTTTTTTTTTAAGTACAGGTCACTTTTGTTTTTCTGAGGGGGAAGCTGGGATACATTTGTCAACACCACTACGTAGCAGTTATCTACTTTTTCTGAACTGAACTATATGCATCGTGATTCAATTTTTTCCTACAGTGTAGGAAAAAGTACACTTATAGTAGAACAATTGTTAATTCAGGAATGAATTCATGCAATGTTATTTGTGGGTGGGGGACAAACATTGATAGAACTTGGCAAGATCCAAATTCTAGAGATGAGATTTTATAGTATAGAGTGTGTCAGATTAGCCATTTTTCCTAATGCATCAGAAGCAAGTGCATTCATCTCACAATTTGTTGATGCACTGACATGCTGATGACACAGTTTGGCAGGGTCTGGCTGATCCAGTAAAGACAGGTAGATCTAGCTTTTACCTTTTTCCTTAGCAGAGGGCTAAATCACTTGGCACAGGTCAGTAAGGCGGCTGGCAGAGCAGCAGTTGTGCAGTGGAGACATGGAAATGTATGCATAGATAGATGGATGTAGTGTTTTTTTCTTCAGAAGCTGTTCTTTAAATATATTCCAGTGCAAGCCACACTCACATGCATGCACAGTGCTGTGCTTTCACAAGTATAAGCTCTCTCTTTGCTCTAGCTCTTTACTAGAAGAAGCTTCTGTGAGATCATTTATCTCTCCAGCTAGTTCTAATCTGGAATCGATGCATGATATTTGTTGCTCAGTTGGAGTACAATTTAAGAAATGTGATGGTGGATGGGACAAAAAGCATTAATGTGCAATTTTGTAACATAAATATAAATATAGAGGCAAGTTCTTTACAGCTTAGAAAAAGATGAGTGCCAGGACCTGTACTGTCTGTGACTCTGCTCTATTTGTGGATGTGAAGGTCTGTTTTGTTACAGGGTGTATTTAATCACCAAAGGTTCACTTGCCTAAATGCTTTAGAAACATTTTTCTATTGTGGTCCCTTTCGGCCTGTCTGTGTAGCTGCATTAGTGTTTGAATCACTGATGTCTCTGTGCTACAAGTTCTCTGAGATTTGTTGTTTGTTATGGCAGAAACGGGAAAAATGAGGGTAGAAAATATGAAAGTCATAATGTTTGTTAAGAGAAAGAAGAGTCACCATATGGCTCAACAGATTTTAATTAATATTAATATTAAACTGCCAGGGGAATTTTTGAAAAAGTCAAATAAAAATCCTTTCTTTCACAAATAAGTATGTAAAATTTGTTTTCAAATACATTTCTGGGGGAATTAGGACTATTAGGAAGCCTAGACATAGTAATAGGAACACAGGGGCATTTTCAGAAACACATAAGGTGTTTCTGGAGAATATAGCAGTTATCTAGTTACTGTCAAAAACCTGACATTTAACTGCCATGGGGAGGCAGTAGTTATTCCTTTAGGCCTTACTCATATTTATGTCATCTTGGAAATTTAACAAATAGTTTTAAATCACTGACTGAAACTGCAAAGGCAACACATGTAGATTCCAGTTAACAACAGTTATTGCAGTAATCTTCATTGAGAAAGTGCTGGCATGTTAATGTCTGGTGTCTATGCCAAGAAACCACATGGCAAGGGCAAGTCATGATTTTTATTAGAGAAATCATGCGATGATAAACAGCCCTGGACATTCCAAGCCAGGAAAGTGAACATATACTCAGTGTGAAACATGTAGTTACAGTTACATGCTCTTCCTTAATGTGGATGCTTTTCTGAAGACGGGCAAGCGGTAACGAAGGAAAATGAGTTTCGTAGCTGCAGGTTGTGCACAACAAAGTGTTCAGTGGAAGAGTTTTAAATTCAAATTGAGGGGGATGATTAGTGGCATTGGGGGCAGCCATTGCCTGTGATGTGCTATATTGCTACAGTTTCAGAATCAAGACTTGGAGAGAGCACTTTGGGGAACTCGGACTTCTTCACCCACAGCAGGTTGTATCCATCACTCTGCTGTGCCTCTCACATCTCCCTGAATTTCTTGGTGTTTCTCATGTGTGACAACAGATTGTACTGCCAGCATCCAACAACAGCATATGTTTAGTTGTAAAGACACAGATTTGCTGCTTTGTTCAATAGTAGATTAATGTTCTGATGCATATACCTAATATAAAATGTCAGTCTATTAGCTCATGTAACCATGGAGATAATAAGTAATTTGCATACATGGAGACTCTTTGGGTTCATTTAGGCCTATCATGAAGAAATAGATCCTTACAAATGTTAATAGTAATAAATATTTTCATAAATAATATCTTCTGCTAACTGAAAATAATTGGCCTAATTTGTGAAGACATGGAGCTGATTAAAAATTAACTACCAAAAATAACCTAGCTTATTCTTGGGCTCAAGTGAGGTTCAAAACCTGTGAATTTTCAATTCTGTTGTTAATGTATTAATAGTTTTAAATCTTATTAATAACATAGAATTCAGGATTAATAGTATTGTTAGTTCTGACAGATTCTAATTGCACTTTATACTTTTTTAATTGCAGTTGTAAGGTATGAGCAGTACAACCACACTTCAATGAAAGTGCTAATTATGTTACATGTATTTGCATATTGCTTTTATATGCTAACATGATTTATGTGTGTTTAGGGAATGCATGTAAAGGAGGTGTTTGAGGTGCTTTACATACTTTAATGAATAATAAATTTGAGCAATGCACAATCCTAAATTAATTTTGAAAAGCTAAGTTTTGTTAATTATGCATATAAAACAATTAATTAACAAGACTCAATGTAAAAACCACCAGTCACAGTAATAAATAGCAATTAGATTGTAAATAGTCTGAGTAGAATGCTAATAGCGTAATTTTTCATTATGTTGGATTTGCATCAGTTTTATTCACCTGTAACTCCATGTCTGTCAGTAAATACCAGGCTAGAGCTTGTCAACAGAACAAAGAAAAATGTCACACTATTCCAGGGTATAGCCAGCATAATTGCAAACACCTCAGTCCTGTTTCAGTTGAAATTGTTGTTACCCTACTTTATTTACAGCGTTGGCCATCGTTACCCCAATATTATGTTTAGGGTAAGTGCCGTGAGCGGGCAGAGGGGGAAGAGGTCCAGCTGCACCCCTGTTTGCACAGCCCTACATGTTGTAGAGGTGGTGGTATATGATGGAGCAAGGTTACTGCTTCTGCAGTCTGTGCCACTCCTGCATATATCTGAAACAAGCTGTGGGATAATTGTAGCTTCCTGGGGAAAAGTGGACTTCGGGTGGGCTTTTCACATACATTTGT